AACTGTGGATTAGTAAATATATGTCATTAAATCCAAGCAAACATTCTAGAAGACTTCTATAATTATAGTCAATAGTGTCCCCTAGACCGTAGGAAATGTAAAAATATTAAGACGATGAGGCCTGAGTAAGTCGTAAATTCTGATTGGAGAATGCAGATTGCTGTTGTGAAGTTACCAAATTTACGTGAGTACTTGATTCTTTTCAATCCCAGTTTATTGCTGTCCTACAAATTTCTTTAATGCCAAATGTCGTCTAAAACACCCTGTTTCGCAAAAAATTTCCGGGGGGCTGCACCCCCCTAGCCCCCGCCAAGGGGCTCCGCCCCTGGACCCCGCTGGGGGCGGCGCCCCCAGACCCCTGCCACAGCTTGCTCGCTTCGCTCGCTGCGCAGCTTGATTGGACGCGTCGGCTCGCTTCGCTCGCCGACAGCCCCCCTCAAAGAAAAATCCTGGCTACGTCCCTGAACATGAACAAAAGTAGTTGAACAAAAACTTCCAAAATCGTATATCGAGAGGTAGGTAGTAGGTACTACTAGTACTACTAGGTGCGGACTTCAGAAAACCAAAAAATTATGCTAGGATCATAATGATCAGGGTAACATGAACCGTGGAAAAATTGGTTTCCAGGAATCCACTTTCACAAGAATTTCTTAACCCACTCGTCTGCTGACGTAACATGGTGAGCCAAAAACTTCCCAACTTCCCTAAAAATTAGACATAAAAACTTAGACATAAAAACTTAGACATAAAAACTTTAAAGACCATTAGACATAAGTTTACCACTAGACATAAAATTAACCACTAGACACCCCAATCAATGTCTGGAAAACTGCAAACATTCAATAGACGATCCACAAAGGCCCTCTTATGAACAAAGGCAAAGATGAGGAAATAACATAATACGTATGTGATGTAAAATTTGTTAGGCATAATAATATAAGGTTTGTTAGCAGTTAATCTGTTAAGTGAGATTTGGAACAATGATCAAAGCGATCAATACAATACAATACAATTGTTAAGACAATTAATCTATATTATAACCTTATAATCCTTTGCGAACACAATATGGACAAGAACTCATAAGGGTAAAGGAAATATTTTTACGAACATAGTGATAGTGAAAAACGTATACAAAGGATGCCATAATACTGGCAACATGCCGCCAACCTCTAAGTCGCCCCCAAAATCCGCTGAGCTGCAAAATTTTGCCACTACTCGATAGAATTAAAGATGTTAAATGATTTAAGCCTCATTCTGTCCGATAACCATAATAATAATATGCCATAGGACTACTTGTTCCAGAACCACGTGCCTAAGAACAACTTGTTCATTTGAAGAACCGTGACAATTTCTGCGAATTCGGCGCGATTTTCGAAATTTTCGCCGCGATTTCGCCTAGTTCAGCTTGTCGCAGCGCCTCGATTTTGGGCCTAAATAAGATCGCGATTTTCTTTTGTCCTTGATTATTATAGGAGGCAGCACTCGGCACTAACAATGCGTTACAGTTACTGGTTATGGCACTTACTGAGCTCGTTGCAATATGCAGTCCGTGAATAAATGGGAAAAGCGGGGGGTTTCCAATGGTGAAAAATTGTGACTGATTTTTATGGTGAACTGAGTATCTAGTCTACTATTCAAATTGTAAAATTTCACCATTTTTCACCATTTTATACCATTTTGTGAAATGGTATAATATATTTGCCTTCTAATTTTAGTTTTGACGTGGTGTTATCTTACTATATATAAAGCGAGACGATATATATGGATATATCCGTGCCATTTTACTGACACCACGGCATCAACTTTAACGCGACTTTCCGCAAAAACCGTAAAAGATATACAACTGAAACTTTTTTGACTGGGTCAAATGCTTTAATGGCCTTCAAATCAGCATGAAAAAATTAAAAATTGGCCAAGGAATAAGAATTTTAGTGCCAAAAATTTGGACTCCCAAGTGGTGTCACAAACGCGAATTAAATAAGTAATAATTATTTAATTCTCTCGAGTCTTGACACCACTTTAGGGTAGACGGGTTTCTGCTAGTAATTCTAAAACAATATTTGATTATTAACTCAGATTTTTAGGATATAATCTTACTATATACAGGGTGGGCCAAAAGTCAGTACCCATACGTTGGCCTTAATAGCTCCGCCGTGTTTTATATTTGAGAGCTGTTGCTTTGCAGATGGCATACTGTACTTACCGGTTCGAGGATTCCGTCGTCAAAATTTGAAAATTCGAATATTTTAGACCACGCCCATTCAATATTAAAACACCTATATTGTTTTCTCTGAACATGCTGAACGCCTAATTTTTTCAGAGACGGTAGATTATCAAATGTTGCATAAGATCTGAAAACATGAGGCAAAACGGATTAGAAATGACGAAGTTATCAAGCATTTTCTGTATCTCGTTAACAATATTGACTGGGTGATTATGTGACACCGTGACACGACACCTTAATTGGGCACCCTTAACAATTCCCATAATGTTTAACGGGGTAGTTAACGGGGGTATCTTATCACGTGATTAGGTAAACCAATCACCTGATCACACGTAATGAATAAACTCGTTATGCTTCATATCTCGGTCATCTGAGAAGCTACAGTTCTAATTCTTTCAGGACAAACGTAATTCGAATGGCCAAACACAATTCAGTAACATTTAGCTTGATCCGACTATCAAAACTATCAAATAAATGTGAAAATGAACCTCCATTTGAAAAAAATGAACGCGAATATTTTTCGAGTTGACAAATTCCTCGAACCAGTGGTGGTACTAAGTCATACCAGAAAGAAGTATTTAAATTGGGCTCTCAGTGACTGAACTATAAAGGCCAACGTATGGGTACTGACTTTTGGCCCACCCTGTATAAAGCGAGACGATATATATGTGTTTATCCGTGCCATCTTACTAACACCACGGCATCAACTTTAACGCGACTTTCCGCAAAAACCGTAAAAGATATACAACTGAAACTTTTTTGACTGGGTCAAATGCTTTAATGGCCTCCAAAATTCAGCATGAAAAAATAAAAAATAGGCCAAGTAATAGGAATTTTAGAGGCAAAAATTTGGATCCCCAAGTGGTGTCAAAAACGCGAATTAAATAGGTAATAATTATTTTAGTTTCCTGAGTCTTGACACCATTTAGGGTTATACGGGTTCTTGCTAGTTATGAAATGAAATGAAATAAAGCATTTTTATCCCGCTTATATCAACAATCCAAATAATAAAGATTGCCGATGTCAAAGCGGCTGGCCTATGAATATACCCCAAACTAAGATATTCAGTTAATGAGTATGATATAAAAAATCCAAAACTAAATTACTTATTGACATTAAAAGTTAGCATAGCAACGGTAGAAAAACAACTTAAGGATGTATATCATTAAACATTATTATAAATCGTTCACTCCACTATCTTGTCCTTACAACAAATTCTACCACTTCTGATATAATAATGTTTATCTGTGTCTTCTTTGGCAATCTGTTTCATCTCTAAGACCAACTGCTGATGGATAGTTCGTTCCTCAGGTGATCGGTCCGGAGAAATGAAAACAGTTTTATGACGTGAAATCAGTCTCAGTTCTTTGGCTTTCACTAATATCTGATGGACTGTACTTGAATTTTCAAAAGAAACTTTAACTGATCTAATCTTTTCAGCTGACTTCTTCCCAACCCGGACAGCTTCGAAGTGTGGCTTTTCTTCAATCTGCTGAAACATCTCGCCAACTTCATGATTCAGATTTCAGATTCTCTTCACTAGTCTCCTCGAGACCAAATATTAACACATTCTTAGTTCGATCCTCTTCTGATATAACATTCTGTACAACCTTTTTCAAGCTCTCTTCTGTGAGTACAGGTGCGGCTTTCGAAACAGCTTGACTGAATGTGATTATCCCAGCTTGAACAGTGTCCTGGACGGTGGTCTTGACGGTGGAGTGCACGGATTCCAATTGCTTCGATTTGCTTTCCAGAAGTTCAGCCTGCAGCTTGATAACAGTACTTTGCGATCGGATAAGATCGCTCTTCAACTCCTCCATATCTTTCTTGATATCCAGAAACGTTTCTACATGATCACTGGTAGTCCGATACGCATTATACAAATATTTGACTAAAACTGCCTTCACTGGCTTTTTGAACGTTTCAGCTGAAAACTCATTTTCATGGTCACAGTTCATAGCTTCCGAGAGTTCAGTGACCCAAGAGTTATAGACCTGATGGTTATCGGTAATGTAGGAAGAGTAATTTGACAATCTTTGAAGAATATCCATTTCATCATCATCCATCGTCCATCATCCAAGAGTAATTTGACAATCTTTGAAGAATATCCATTTCATCATCATCCATCATCCATCGTGTACTTGTACTTGTATAAAGAAACAATTTAACATGTGTTAAACTTAAATCATTCACCATTTTTCATCAAAACTAATAATTTTTGGTGAACATGTCGAGTAAGGTACATCAAAACTGGTAACTTTTAGCAAAAGTAGTAAGAAAGGTACTTCAAAACTAGTAAGTAGTAATTTTTGGTGAACATGTCGAGTAAGGTACGTCAAAACTGATAACTTTCAGTGAACATGGCGAGTAAGGTGCATCGAAACTGAGCTCTTGGCCCCACTGAGTCTTGGCCCCACTGATCTGAGAGCCTAACTCATCAAAAACTTAAATCAATTACAGAGAACTTTTTTTCGACACCAAAGCCTGTCTAGTTGACTGCCGGGGACAAGAGCCTTAAAGGCCCTTAATCAACTATGTGATTGTGAAACCTTGCCTCCTTTAGCATCTTGAAATTCAAATATGGAGGAGCAATGATATTTGTGAGACTGAAATTTCAGAAGAAGTCTTTCTTCTGTGCCTTAATTATTCATTATCCTGAAGTTTCTCGAATTTTACTTACTTAAATAAAATATTTACCAAAAATTTGAAGGGAACTGGTCATGTCAGAATGAAAACTTTTTATCTGACAGTCTGGATATCACATAAAATATCTTACCTTTCTGGCTAGTGCATCATCACACAGCCGCATGCGAATCTTGGAGATGTACTCAGCATTCTGTTCCGTTCTCATGACTGTGGCTCTGTTGTCTTTTAGGGTTATCTGGGTATCCTTGGGTCCTCCCTCTCCACGAATATACGAACTGAAGAGGATGAGTACGTTAGAGTTTAGCAGGAATATATTGAATGATTTTGTAATCCAAAATTTAAGGCAATTCGAAATTGATGTAAAAACGCATTTTTTTCTTATTTGGGACAAAGAGATGACATGAAAGATTTAACCGATATTTTCTGACGATATAAAATGAAAAATCAATTTATATTACGACATCGTTTCATGAAATGAAAATAATTACAAAAGTACTCTCATTTTACATTACTTTTAAAAATCAACTCTGATCCAGATCACTAAAATAGATATGAAAAGCTTCCAACAAACCTCAAGATATGTGTACAATGCTAAGTTACAGAACGATGCAAACTGCAAAACATTGAACTAATAATTGGTGACAAAATACTAGCGCTAACATGCAGTGCAAGCACTCATTTGTAAGAAGCACATTTTAAACTTTCAGGTGGAATTCAGTACTTGCCGCATTTTCTTTTACACAGATCTCGTTGAAAACTGGTCCAAAATGTATGTACGCAATTGTATAAAATCTTCGTATCTCTGATCTTTATTAATTTAAAGAAGTTCAAATCTGAAATACCTAAGTTTAGTGTTCAACCCGATAACAAATCATAACATAGAGCAAGATAACACTCCAGCAATCAGTTATACCTCAGCTAAAACACTAAGAAATTCTCGTGCCACTGACGACAACTAGATCAGGCTGAATATCAGGTCCTACAGAAGGCGACCGGGACCGAGTTCTCTCCCTTGAGGGACGCCGGGCCCGTCTAATGTCTCTGCTAGAAGTTTTAGTCCCCGGTCTCTCATGTACACTTGATATTCTCTTTATAATGTCTACAGGTGATCCTCCTGCTGTTCCAATCCTCAAACCAAGATCCACCACTACAGTCTCTTTGATCTGTCTCGCGGAGCTTGGGGAGGTTTAGATGGTCTAGACTTACGAGATCCAGTGGCTTTAGCTGAGGTAAGAGGAACTGGTTCCTGACCCTAAAGTAAGATCTGGAGTCTCCTTATCAGTAAACTTGGGTGAACTTGCTTTTGAAGGTTTAGCACGTCGACCCTTGAGCACATTTTTACCAGCAGGAGGATTAGTAGTAGGGTTAAACAATTCGTTTTCGTTCCTAACAGTGTGGTCCTGTTCAACACTAAAAGCTGATCTGCTAGATCCACTACTATGCAAACTATCCATAGACCCACTAGTCATACCATTGCTCTGCATTGCACTGCCTGCCAGGGAGAAATCCACTTTAACCTGTTCAGGAATAACGTCCTTTCGGTTGTATCGGATGATAGTGGTTTTCTTTCTCTCAGGTACTGTCACAACTACAGGTTCGGTACAAGTTGGACAGTAGTCGTGGGTATGAGCAAGCCAGTTGTCTGCGCAAACCTGAAATTACAATAACTGTGTTAGATTGATGTTGCAGTAAATTGTTTAAAGAATCAAGTCATAAAATTGCAGACTGAGGGACCAAATATCGTCCATGTTTTGATGGTATAATTTTAAAGCGTTCATTGAAAAATGATTTTAAAAATGGAAGGTTTTACATGAGATGCAGATATAGCTTACCTTATGAAATTTATGAGCACAGGGTAATTCGACAATGTGTTGAGAAATAGAGTAACTAGCCAGACAAATATGACAGTACAACTCTCTCTGCTTCAGCAAGGAGCTGTGTTTAGTCAACATGATACATTTCAAACTAGCAAGTTCCTTGGCAGATAGCCCTCCTGATCCATTAGGCTGAGTAGAGTCCAGCTCGAGCAGAGTTTCGTAATCATTCTCCGTTATCTCCCTGTTTTCCAGCTCTGCTGCTAGGTTTGGTGGTATAGCAGAGAGGTCCCGCACAGCAGGTCTCCACCGGTGAGCAGGCTTCTCTTTGAACTGGAAGGGGTGCTGAGTGTGGTTAGAACCAGCAAAACACTGCATACAGAGACTGTACTGCTGGCAGATGGTGCACATGTAGTGCTTCCCTTGTATTGGGTTAGAGTTGCAGCTGTTACACGTGGTCCCAGGGTGGGTGTCCCGTCTGAAGGCTGACTTCTTCAAGTGATCCGTCATGATCATCTTGAGGGTCCCAAACTCAGCTCGGCACATCGGACAAAGGATCTTGGTACCTTGGGATAGCTGGTGATCAGCCCAGATCTTCATACACTTGCTGTGGATGCTGTGTCCACAGCTGTACCTACAGAACGTGAGGTGCTGAGCTGGGGTCATCTCATCCTGACAGATAGGACAACAGTCTCCCTCTTCCACGGGGCGCGGCTCCACACAATTCTCATTGTTCTGCACTGCAGGCTTGTCTGAGGTTTTATCACTGTTGCTCTGCTGAACGTGTCTCCTGGTCTTCTCTCTACTCTTTATCATCTGTTGGATCTCCCTCTCCACAAGACTACCCTGCCAACTAATAGGATTCTCAGGAGGTATCCGGAACAGTTTCAATATAACCCACAAGATGTGGATACACAGCTCACGCTCCTTCAGGAATGTGGTACAGGTGCAGGCACTGGGGTCCCCCAGGGTAACACGCAGCTTCTTCGCGCTGTCGTGCTCCTTGAGGGTGAAGGCAGTAGGACCGTTCTCTTGCAGCACGTAGATACGGGCCTGTATAGCTTGGAGCTGTCTCCAGTGCACGACATCCGAGACAGTGTGTCTCCACGGTACTGACCTTGACATTTAACCTAGCAGTTGTGGAATGTGTTAGATATTCGGGGGTTAGTATTGTTCCATAAGTAAATCACACAACATTATACTATTATACTTAGGTAGTTTCCTTTGCAGATTTTGCACATAAACGTAGATAGACGTTTCGATAATATTTGGCGCCAAAGTGGAAATTGGTTACTGAACCATGAGTTTTACGAAAGTAACAAACTATTTACAAAAGCTCCAAATGGACGACATGACCGGACATCTAGCTCTACTGCTCTACTGGTAGGATTACAGTTTAAGAAGTACATTTTAGTCTTAGAACAATAAACGGTAGCTCATGAAGCAATAAACGATACCAGAGACTGGATCACGCAAGTAGTTCTCAGTGATTTTATCAGTATCAGTAGCTGCTATATCCCAGCTACTACGTCACACTTTGTAACGTGCACACTATTTAAACATGATCAGATAGTGCTGATAACTGTTTAGTCTATCTGCAGATAAGTAAAGGCGCCGGCTCACTCCACTAGAATAACAAGGTAGCTCGAGCAGTGGGAGTAATGGTCTTAGTAATGTGCAGAGGAGGTTGATACGAGTCGAGGTTTTTAGTTTGAGAAAGGAACTTGAAAGTACTGCTCTGTTCAGACCTACCCAAAGTCATTGAACATCATTTCCGAAGGTTGAATATTTAATGAATAATTGCTCTTTTCAGACTTACCTAAAATCGTTCATCATAGCTCCGGTTCTAAGAGCGGAAGCACTGCTCTGCTTCTCTTCAAACTCGTCCAGACTTCTGTACGTGTCCTGGTAAAGTGAAGATGTCGTTAATTTGGCACAAACAAACAAACGAATCGTCATCCACCTTCTACAGATAATAGTACTGTATACTAATTAATTTTTCTCTTAGGTTCGATATAATGGCACGGCAATATCAGCGTTAACCGAATTGGAAGCAGAATTATGAGAAATTTCTTGTCCTTACCTTGACTATTTTCTTTGAAATCTGAGCTCGTCTCAGCTCTTGTGTTTCCTTCACTTTTTGCTGTAAACAAATCCATATTTAGCAATATGGATTTGAATATGAAATTAATATGAAATTAATATAAAATTAATATGAAATTAATGTTGTTTTATCTGTGCTTTAACTAGAAAATCCAAACCAATTTCTATTCAAATGGACAAATATCAAACTTAAGAATCAATCGCATATAAACTAACATCGAACACTTTTGTTCTTGGTTTTGGAGAAGTGCCAAGCTTTTCAATCAGTTCTCTTTGCTCCACCATTATCTGACGCGACTGAAATAAGGGAGATATTAGTTGATTTTAATTAATTACCACTGATCAATAAAACATAATTTTTCCTAATCTAAGATTTAATCACCCTATCCAACAGAAACGTTCTAACTTTCAACACTACTATAAAACATATAATTTGAGACTGATAATACTGTCAACATTTAAAATAATCTCGTGAAACAGTTTAGTAGATAAGTAGTATCCCTGGTCCTACCACTAGTCGCTAAATATAGAGAAAAAAATAAAATGTCTGACTTTTATACATTGCCTTACTGATTTATCAATCCAAATGTTACAATGAAATCAGTGGACATAAATCAGATCGAATGTAAAACATGATTTTATCGCTTTAAACACGGTATAATCATTAAATATCCCAAATTTAAAATGCCGTTTGAATCACTCAAAATACATCTGTCCAAACTCCAAAATCATAATATGACCTTCAACTGAACTTACTCGTTCCATTTTCTGCTGTCTCAGATGCTGCATAACCTTGTAGCTCTGCTCCTCTTCAGCCCTCCTAAAACACTAGTGTTAATCTTGTGACTAACACTAAAATACTCGTGTTAATCTTACAGTCAGATGAAGTCGGCCCCGAATATCACTACAAACTTATATTCTCGTTTTTTAAGCGAGTTCTAAATCTGCAGTTAGTTAGTCAGGGCATTGGTACGGTCTCAAAGATTGATTCATTTGACGACACCATAGTTAATCTAAGAGAGAAATGTTCAAACAAAGCCTACTTAAACATTAAGCATAACAAGATCAAAGACAACCGTCATAGTAAGCATTTAAAAATGGATATTTAGGAGTCTCAGGAGAGCAAACTTAGAGAAAAGTCACGATAATGGCACTGTTTTACCACCTCAAAACAAAGAACATAACAAGCAAGATTATGAACAAGATTAAAACAAAGGGCGATCGAGAAGCAGGCGAGATATGATGCTCATAACCAGTATAGTTTGTCAGTACAGTTTGTGTGTGGTCGATATAGAATTCGTGTGACTCTGTACTAACTCGGCTTTGAGAGCTTTTTCTAGGTTGTCCAGCCGTTTCTTGTCGAAGTTTTTAACGAGCTCCTCCATGTCAACTTGTACTTGTCGGGGGAACTGCTGACGTAACCGCTACAAATTGGACAAGGTTAGCAAACAAAGGGTCTGATGTATCCAATTTATTGGTTGAGAGATAGCCCTTCAATCAGCAAACTGTTCCATCGAATCCTAATTATACGTCTTACAGTTAAAGTTCATAACTAACATTTTGATAGAATTCAGCATTTGCGGTCTCAAGTGTCATCTTCTGGGAAGATTTCATGGCTTCCATAGCGTGGCTGGTCAGGTTTTGTTGCTCCTTGCGGTTTAGGGCGATGAAGAGCTGATACATAAGCTTCGTCACAGACCCAGGCTTCTCGCGCATTACATCCGATACCTGCAACAAACATTCTATTATCTCGATAGCTTGGTTTTGAGTTTGATAAGTTTAGAAAACTGAATCAGTGTAGTGTAAATTTGTATCGGATAAGACTTGTTCTTATATTCTCTCTATTACAGTGTATTAGACACTGGACATAACTTTACTTTGAGTTTGACAACCAATTCTAATCAAATTGTGCCGCAACTAACTATATCTAAATATTATTTTCAGTTATATTTACAATATTGGAGTTGAATGGCACTTGAAGAAGCCGGAGACTTGGTTCAAGTCTGCTGAAATTGTTCAACTTTGCATCTGTGTTACTGAAAATAAATAAGGGTTGATCATTGCTTCGTATAAGGCATAAGCAAATCCTAAATGTTAGTTCTGACAACATTGCAAATTAGGAACTAATACTTGCAGCATCGACCTTTCAAATTCCAGAATCAATTTCACGAATTGAAACAAATTTTGAAGCCTTTATTTCAGGAATAATTTCTGATACAACATTGTTAAAACTTACTTTCCAGGAGAGAAAGACTTGAAATCTTCCTGTAACCCATACTTGCTCATCAGCTCACCAAGCAAGTAACCGGAACCAAAAGCCCGTGCAAAATTTGCTGGGTCTGAAATGTACGATTAAGATGAGATTTATTGATATTTAAAAAATGTATCAAGCCATTTATAATGTTAAATGTTAATTAATGACAATGTTGTCCCTGGTGATATCAAAGACGGCACTTTTATTTGGATTGATTTGTTAGTTTATTTTGTACCAATTGAATAATTGCTCCTAATTGATACTAGTGGAGCACGTTGTAATAAAGGAAATTAACGAATCAGTATTTGTAATACCTATAAGTATAAATACATAGATAGCTGAAAACCCTGAACTCACCTATTTTGTTAAACCCTGAACTCACCTATTTTGTTGAACCCTGAACTCACCTATTTTGTCCGCGAGCTTGACATCCTCGTTCAACCACTTGCAGAGAATGTCCGTCATTCTGATTCAATGATGATGTGAGGAAAAAGAAAGTAAAAACTTGAAATTAGGAACTTTGATAGAAGTTGATAAAAAGCGATGTAAAAGTGTTAAATATTTCTCCGTTCGTTCATTTGAAGACGATACACATTACACACATGCATGGTTTAAAAAAGTAATCAGTGCTGAAATTACAATTATTAAAGAAATTTTAACAAAGTGAAACTTTGAAGCTTTTACAATTATCATTATCCAAGTGAAATAAGTTTAACACCCTGAGTCTACTTGATTAGAGGTGCTGAAAACTTCTAGCCTCTAGTGCACTTATCAAACCTCATGAATGGACTGATGACTAGCCAGAGGCTATGGTTATCAGAACACTTAAACGGTGTCTTGTAAGTCATTCGATCTATTCCATTTAATAGATAGCAAAATTAAACCAGTCCCTGCACTGTTTGATAGTAATATATAGCAGACATTTGCCTAAAATTGTGAATATAATAATAATGTATTGCGAGCAGCTGTGACTTAAATATCGCATGACAATCATATAACTTAAAACTTAAATTTTACTGGAATATAAGGAAAACAAAATTAATGTCAGACCCATCGCCACTCTCAGCAGTCAGCCAGGGCTCATAAAAGCTTAATAGCGCCTGGGTCCTTTCACCAGATGTGGTAATGTGAGTGGCGGTCATGTGGTCAGACCCACTTGAACAGCATGTATTATTATTAAATACAAGCGCGCTAGCTGCTAGCATACTTTTATCATTATCTTTGAAATCAAGTTTATTCGGATATATATTTATTGATTGATTGTGACACAATCATTGTGTATTGAATTGGTGATAAATAATAAAATTGTCTTTTCTCAAAAAATTGTCTTTTCTCAATAACTTAAATCATTATATTGTCCTCAACTAATACACAATTCATATTGAAGTGCAACTCCCACTATATATTGTGCTGGAGGAATGATCACTCATTTTCGCTGTTAATTTGGTGGTCATATGAAAAATATCGTCTTATTGGTTAATTATGAAAGCAAAATATTGGTCATCAGCCAGTCAGCCACTATGTGCGATGGATTTATTGCGAATATCGAAAGCTAAATTAACCCGTTAGAACTGTTATAGGTCCGTAAGAAATGGATAAAATCACGGATGAAAATATTTTAAATAATGATTCAAATGGTATCGAAAATTGGACAAGAAATCTTTGGTCTCACGCTGCACGCGTTAGTAAATAAACCATGTAGCGCTCGATTTCTCTACGATTAAGTTTTGAGTAAGTATAGTGATGGAGCTACGATTGCGCGCCGCGAATCAATGTCTTTCAATTGCATACCTAGTAATTAATTACAAATTAACTAATATGATACGTAATATATACACGCTTACATCAAATATATGGTGTACCTGCAAACTGAGCTGTGCCTCATTACCAGGTAATGCTTGAAAGGTATCATCAGGAGTATTATCATATCCAGAAATTACTTATAAGCACTCATTTTAAAACATAAAACAATAATCTATAATTTGAGTTTTCAATTAGCTAAAATTAAAAATGATTTACTTATTAGTAGAGGCTCTTACGGGCAAATATCACGCTTCTTTGCTCGAGCCCTGGGACTTCTTTTAGGGTTCTTATATGATAGAATGGAGTGTACTGAACACTCTGACGGTATCGGGAACCTTCTAGAGCCTTCAGAAGCTGTGTTGTGAGCACTTTACTGCCAAAACTTCGGACATCTACAGACACCGGAATATCGACTAAAAATTGTTTCTGAGTTGTTCCCCTAATTTCTCTTAGGTTGCTTAAGCCCTAGAAAGTGTCAGATCGTCTAAATATTGCTCCATTCCGGTGTTAGAGACCTCGAAAATTTCGACCTCGTAGAACGTGTTGCGCGTCGTATGTAGTGTTTACAATGGAAAAAGTGCACTTAAATCTGATTCGGTTGCGGCGCGCAGAAGTACTTGAGACCAGAATTGCCGGATTTTTGCCGGATAATCGCGCTGCAAATTTCCCAAACTTTTCCAAAATATCACTTGAAATCATGGCCAACTGTCCGCAAAACTCGGCAAATATTAACAGGACAATACCAACTTCCACATATACCACTGTGAAGTAATATAGACTAGACTAATACCTGAAACACAAGGATAGGTTTTGTTATTTGGCGCTGATTTTTTTGCCGGATTCTTGAATAACGGAAAATCGTATTGATAAATGTTCTTTAAACTCTTCAAATAGTTAGAGCACTATAATACGGTCAATTTCAGGGAGTATAAAAAAATTTCTTCGTCTGTGAGTGGAGATACAAGGTCAAACACAAGAAAATATCTTCATTTGGCCAGAATTTTTGCCGGATTCTTGAATAACGGAAAATTGTATTGATAAATGTTCTTTAAACTCTTCAAATAGTTAGAGCACTATAATACGGTCAATTTCAGGGAGTATAAAAAAATTTCTTCGTCTGTGAGTGGAGATACAAGGTCAAACACAAGAAAATATCTTCATTTGGCCAGAATTTTTGCCGGATTCTTGAATAACGGAAAATTGTATTGATAAATGTTCTTTAAACTCTTCAAATAGTTAGAACACTATAATACGGTCAATTTCAGGGAGTATAAAAAAATTTCTTCGTCTGTGAGTGGAGATACAAGGTCAAACACAAGAAAATATCTTCATTTGGCCAGAATTTTTGCCGGATTCTTGAATAACGGAAAATTGTATTGATAAATGTTCTTTAAACTCTTCAAATAGTTAGAGCACTATAATACGGTCAATTTCAGGGAGTATAAAAAAATTTCTTCGTCTGTGAGTGGAGATACAAGGTCAAACACAAGAAAATATCTTCATTTGGCCAGAATTTTTGCCGGATTCTTGAATAACGGAAAATTGTATTGATAAATGTTCTTTAAACTCTTCAAATAGTTAGAGCACTATAATACGGTCAATTTCAGGGAGTATAAAAAAATTTCTTCGTCTGTGAGTGGAGATACAAGGTCAAACACAAGAAAATATCTTCATTTGGCCAGAATTTTTGCCGGATTCTTGAATAACGGAAAATTGTATTGATAAATGTTCTTTAAACTCTTCAAATAGTTAGAGCACTATAATACGGTCAATTTCAGGGAGTATAAAAAAATTTCTTCGTCTGTGAGTGGAGATACAAGGTCAAACACAAGAAAATATCTTCATTTGGCCAGAATTTTTGCCGGATTCTTGAATAACGGAAAATTGTATTGATAAATGTTCTTTAAACTCTTCAAATAGTTAGAACACTATAATACGGTCAATTTCAGGGAGTATAAAAAAATTTCTTCGTCTGTGAGTGGAGATACAAGGTCAAACACAAGAAAATATCTTCATTTGGCCAGAATTTTTGCCGGATTCTTGAATAACGGAAAATTGTATTGATAAATGTTCTTTAAACTCTTCAAATAGTTAGAGCACTATAATACGGTCAATTTCAGGGATAATAAAAAATTTCTTCGTCTGTGAGTGGAGATACAAGGTCAAACACAAGAAAATATCTTCATTTGGCCAGAATTTTTGCCGGATTCTTGAATAACGGAAAATTGTATTGATAAATGTTCTTTAAACTCTTCAAATAGTTAGAGCACTATAATACGGTCAATTTCAGGGAGTATAAAAAAATTTCTTCGTCTGTGAGTGGAGATACAAGGTCAAACACAAGAAAATATCTTCATTTGGCCAGAATTTTTGCTGGATTCTTGAATAACGGAGCTGGAGCTAATTTATTTGAAGCACTATGTGCATGAGAGACCACGTTATAGTCACGTGCTCCTCCATCTGCATCTACACTGGCACATGCATATGTCGTGTGACACTACGCACTGCCACGTAATAGTCTGTAATTGGCCAGCGTTTCTGACACGTGACCTCCCTTTAACCAGTTCACTGCCAGAATCCGTTTAGCAGGACAAATAATTCACTGTCAAACTCTTAACAAAGACTCGGTCTGCTTACAGATTCGCAGTGTTCGAACTTACTGTCACAATTTGCACCGAAGTAAGTAAGTCCGAACGGTTTTTTGTCTTTATTCAAAGTGAATTCAATGTTTTTTGAATCTTGAAAACATTTTCATGTTCATGTTGATGTGAAGTTGTAAAACGTTTATTTTGCCAATTGGTTAAATGTGTAATCGTCTAACTTCTTTTAAATCTAGTTTAATCCAAATAGTAATCTGTGAAGTTACTGATCACAGAAAATTATCATTGTAGGTCTACGTTGGTTCCGGTTTTTCCGACTTCGACAGTATAGTGGGGTGTACGATACCAAGCCCTCTGCGGATGGATCCTGCTGAGTTATTAGATGATCCTAAACTTCCATCTTGATTAGACACTGGAAGATAATGTTACATAGTATGTTCATCCCCACGACCGAGCTACGATCGGTTCAGAAAGTCCTACTTTACATCATCTCTCTATTACCATGTTAGACTTATTAAATTTACACAGTAGGTTCCTGCTTCAGCACTAAAATTTGAAAACTTAGTTTTAAATTAGTTTAAATTTTTAAGTCTCTATTCTATATAAGTGTGTCTCCAGGCTCTATCTCAGCGACTGTACAGTAGACATTCCCACTTTTCGGCCAGAAAAGTCGTCTCATCACCGTATCAACAAAGAACATTTATCAATACAATTTTCCGTTATTCAAGAATCCGGCAAAAATTCTGGCCAAATGAAGATATTTTCTTGTGTTTGACCTTGTATCTCCACTCACAGACGAAGAAATTTTTTTATACTCCCTGAAATTGACCGTATTATAGTGCTCTAACTATTTGAAGAGTTTAAAGAACATTTATCAATACAATTTTCCGTTATTCAAGAATCCGGCAAAAATTCTGGCCAAATGAAGATATTTTCTTGTGTTTGACATTGTATCTCCACTCACAGACGAAGAAATTTTTTTATACTCCCTGAACTTGACCGTATTATAGTGTTCTAACTATTTGAAGAGTTTAAAGAACATTTATCAATACAATTTTCCGTTATTCAAGAATCCGGCAAAAATTCTGGCCAAATGAAGATATTTTCTTGTGTTTGACCTTGTATCTCCACTCACAGACGAAGAAATTTTTTTATACTCCCTGAAATTGACCGTATTATAGTGTTCTAACTATTTGAAGAGTTTAAAGAACATTTATCAATACAATTTTCCGTTATTCAAGAATCCGGCAAAAATTCTGGCCAAATGAAGATATTTTCTTGTGTTTGACCTTGTATCTCCACTCACAGACGAAGAAATTTTTTTATACTCCCTGAAATTGACCGTATTATAGTGCTCTAACTATTTGAAGAGTTTAAAGAACATTTATCAATACAATTTTCCGTTATTCAAGAATCCGGCAAAAATTCTGGCCAAATGAAGATATTTTCTTGTGTTTGACCTTGTATCTCCACTCACAGACGAAGAAATTTTTTTATACTCCCTGAAATTGACCGTATTATAGTGTTCTAACTATTTGAAGAGTTTAAAGAACATTTATCAATACAATTTTCCGTTATTCAAGAATCCGGCAAAAATTCTGGCCAAATGAAGATATTTTCTTGTGTTTGACCTTGTATCTCCACTCACAGACGAAGAAATTTTTTTATACTCCCTGAAATTGACCGTATTATAGTGCTCTAACTATTTGAAGAGTTTAAAGAACATTTATCAATACAATTTTCCGTTATTCAAGAATCCGGCAAAAATTCTGGCCAAATGAAGATATTTTCTTGTGTTTGACCTTGTATCTCCACTCACAGACGAAGAAATTTTTTTATACTCCCTGAAATTGACCGTATTATAGTGCTCTAACTATTTGAAGAGTTTAAAGAACATTTATCAATACAATTTTCCGTTATTCAAGAATCCGGCAAAAATTCTGGCCAAATGAAGATATTTTCTTGTGTTTGACCTTGTATCTCCACTCACAGACGAAGAAATTTTTTTATACTCCCTGAAATTGACCGTATTATAGTGCTCTAACTATTTGAAGAGTTTAAAGAACATTTATCAATACAATTTTCCGTTATTCAAGAATCCGGCAAAAATTCTGGCCAAATGAAGATATTTTCTTGTGTTTGACCTTGTATCTCCACTCACAGACGAAGAAATTTTTTTATACTCCCTGAAATTGACCGTATTATAGTGCTCTAACTATTTGAAGAGTTTAAAGAACATTTATCAATACAATTTTCCGTTATTCAAGAATCCGGCAAAAATTCTGGCCAAATGAAGATATTTTCTTGTGTTTGACCTTGTATCTCCACTCACAGACGAAGAAATTTTTTTATACTCCCTGAAATTGACCGTATTATAGTGTTCTAACTATTTGAAGAGTTTAAAGAACATTTATCAATACAATTTTCCGTTATTCAAGAATCCGGCAAAAATTCTGGCCAAATGAAGATATTTTCTTGTGTTTGACCTTGTATCTCCACTCACAGACGAAGAAATTTTTTTATACTCCCTGAAATTGACCGTATTATAGTGCTCTAACTATTTGAAGAGTTTAAAGAACATTTATCAATACAATTTTCCGTTATTCAAGAATCCGGCAAAAATTCTGGCCAAATGAAGATATTTTCTTGTGTTTGACCTTGTATCTCCACTCACAGACGAAGAAATTTTTTTATACTCCCTGAAATTGACCGTATTATAGTGCTCTAACTATTTGAAGAGTTTAAAGAACATTTATCAATACAATTTTCCGTTATTCAAGAATCCGGCAAAAATTCTGGCCAAATGAAGATATTTTCTTGTGTTTGACATTGTATCTCCACTCACAGACGAAGAAATTTTTTTATACTCCCTGAACTTGACCGTATTATAGTGCTCTAACTATTTGAAGAGTTTAAAGAACATTTATCAATACAATTTTCCGTTATTCAAGAATCCGGCAAAAATTCTGGCCAAATGAAGATATTTTCTTGTGTTTGACCTTGTATCTCCACTCACAGACGAAGAAATTTTTTTATACTCCCTGAAATTGACCGTATTATAGTGCTCTAACTATTTGAAGAGTTTAAAGAACATTTATCAATACAATTTTCCGTTATTCAAGAATCCGGCAAAAATTCTGGCCAAATGAAGATATTTTCTTGTGTTTGACCTTGTATCTCCACTCACAGACGAAGAAATTTTTTTATACTCCCTGAAATTGACCGTATTATAGTGTTCTAACTATTTGAAGAGTTTAAAGAACATTTATCAATACAATTTTCCGTTATTCAAGAATCCGGCAAAAATTCTGGCCAAATGAAGATATTTTCTTGTGTTTGACCTTGTATCTCCACTCACAGACGAAGAAATTTTTTTATACTCCCTGAAATTGACCGTATTATAGTGCTCTAACTATTTGAAGAGCTTAAAGAACATTTATCAATACAATTTTCCGTTATTCAAGAATCCGGCAAAAATCCGGCAAAAATCCGGCAAAACGCTCTCAAGTAGCCCTCGCGGCGCGTGACGTATCTAGCACGATATTTGCTCGAAAGCGCGTCACTGCGCCAGAAACCTCGTGGTACCGTAACACTGTAGAAATAGATAATCACAAGAGACACAATAAACGTATCATCACTATGCAAAGTTAATGTTAAAATGATACAATAGCCCTGCTTTAACAGATTAATCCACATAAACACTATATTTCTACAGTCCGATCAGTAAATCGAACATGTTTTTGAAGATAAATCTTCTGATAGAATTCGTTTCTACATTGAAAGATTTCTTTTCTAATCTCCTTTAAGAGTGCTGTCTTTGTTAAAGTGTTATCATCTCTATCCGCATCTATTGTTGCAGCAAGATTAGATACGATCCTGCTGTCGAAACAAACTCGTCTTACCGACATTGTCTTTCTGAAAACTGATGTGATCAGATTAAACATTGCTGGAGTTTGCAGCGTTCTCAGATAAATTAGACGTCACATAGTCATTGTACTTAAGCTTCAGGTCAGACACGAGGTACAGTTCTGGTAAAACATTCTCCTGCTCCAGTTAAAAGGTCCGTATCAATACCTGCACTCATTAATGCAGCATTGGTGTTGTCGTGCGTGGACACGTGTCTTTCCATTTTAAAACCTGCCTTAGAGACAGGTTTTAAACTTACAGCTTCAGATAATTTACCCTTCAATTGTTTCACCCTCGAGTTGCTGTACCTCAAACGACATGTTTTGTGATATCTACCTAGCTTGCTATAGAGATATTTTCCGAGACTCTCAGGGTTAAGAACAGGGCACTTGTTCATGTGCGAATCAGGATTAACATCGATGTTGCACAGATCCTGACGATTTCTGTAGATGTCCACAGATAGTATGTTGCGAAATCGACGAAGAAACTATTATCTTTTCCTTGAATCAGACTATCCTTTTTCGTTTCTAACGTCTAGGGAAATTCGTATTGTTAAAGAAGAATAACCTCTCATACTCTTAAAATTAAATCGAGATAATATGTATAATAATTATATTTGCGAGCAAAAGTTTCACACAAACCTGTTCAACCTGGCATATGAAACACAAGTCTCAGTCCATTTCAAACAAATCAACATCTGGTCCACTTGATTTGGAACTAAATGAAGAAAGTCTCCACATTTTCTTAGTTCTATTCGAGGAGGGTGACAAAGGCGGGACTTTTTCCACTTGGATGGCAATAGCTTCTTCAATCTTCATCACAAGAGGATTCGTCAATTTCAGAAACAGCACTGTACACCTGCAAATACTTTATTACTTCCCACATTTATATCAACAGTATCATATCACATAAGTTTGAGATCGTACAAGTGTTATATCATTTTAAAAGTTTGCAAATCCGATAGAAATGGATTAAAAATTACTACTCGCTGTCTATTTACCTTTGAATAATAATGTTTTTCAGGAGGTGACCGGGACATGATTTCAGGCCTGACCGGGACCGGGATACAAAATGTGACTTGACCGGGACCGGGACCGGGATAGCTCAAAATTGAGATTATCAATTTACCGGGACCGGGATAGCTCAAAATTGCCAATCCCGGTACCGGGATTCCCGGTACCGGGAATTCCGGTCGATTACTGGTTAATTCATGATCATAATTTATTACTCAAACTTGTTAAGCAATTTTAAACATTGTTGTATTTGGCTCAGAGGATATTTAAAGATGAAATTCACAATGAATGAAAGGAAAAACCTAAAATCACAGTGAATGAAATTATGTAAAAGATCCCGGTCAAAATCCCGGCAAATTTGAGTGATTGACCGGGACCAGGACCGGGACCGGGACCAAGAATCCCGAATTAACCGGGACCGGGACTGGGACCGGGATCATAAATAAATAAATCAGCATTTGACCGGGACCGGGATAGCTCAAAATTGCCAATCCCGGTACCGGGAATCCCGGTCACCTCCTGATGTTTTTAAATATTAGTAAAACAGGAGGAAACCACTCACCCTGTTATAGTTGTCTTTTACATAGTTAAGACACTGAATACACAAAAAAAGAGGTTTGCTTTGGTGAGCACAACCCAGGATTGATCTTCTGCAGCAGGGCGAGGAATTCTCTAGACTGTTTTGTAATTCGTTCACTTTCAGAGCGGAAGAAAACTGTGTCATTAAAATCCTTTATTTCTATTCGGGTACAGATACAGCACTCTGAAAATTGATGAATGGTCACATTTTTGTATACCCTACGGCAAAGTCTTATGTATGTGGTAAAAGAATGATATTCTTTAAATATATAATAACATCTATAAACAAAAGAGCACCTAAAGAGGCTCAGCAAAGTGCTGGCCTATTTACGCTTACGAAGACTCATTCGTTCAATATGTCTCAAAGTAAATAAACTCCTCCATCCTACTCTATCTCTTGCTAAGTTCACTAAGTTGGTAAAATCATCTTCATTTTTCAAATAAATTTGTCTCTTAAATAGGTCCTTTTTCACAATAATATCATACAAATTAGTCCTGTGTCTACCCACTCGTCCCTTTAGTGTTTGACATCCTATTGAAGCAAATAACAGAGACTGGTAGGCAGGCGTGTCGTTGTCAATGCGTAGAACATGACCTAGCATTGTCCACCGTGCCTTTTCCACTCTCTCGGAAAGGGGCCTGGTCTGGGTACGAGCGTAGAAGGCCTTGTTAGATATTGAGCTAGGCCAATAGATGTGTACTGTAGGATGCGCTTGAGGTGCTTCCTCTGAACAACATCAACAGACTCTAGAACATGCTGAGGTACGGCCCAGCAGCAGCAGTTGTACAGGAGCACTGATACTACTAGTGAGTCGTAGATTTGATCTTTCTCTTCTCAGTTATCTGACTCCTCTCTGATCCCTGGCACCACAGCTTGTCAAATGACCAGAAGGCGGTGTTAGCTTTATTCATTCTATTAGTAGCATCCTGCTCTGATCCAAGCTTAGTACCAAGAAGCGTCTCGTTTCTCCACTCCTCTTTTCCTCTTAGTTCATTATCCCACTCGTCACATGCACCAACTTCTTCTAAATACACTCTGGTAAACTTTGTCTTTGTGTCATTGACAAAGAGACTCCATTCACTGAGAATATTCTTGGAGATCTGAAAGATATCCTGTAACTCCTCCATATCTTCACCAATCTCCTCTACATCGTCTGAATAGCCGGACTCAAGAGGCATGTGGTTATCGGCTATCGGAGGGTTGGGGGTTGAGGGGAGGACTGCTCTTATGTGCACTACAGCTCCAGCTAGATTGAGGGTAAACAATTTACCAGCTGTGCTGTCTCCTTGGGAGGCTCCTATGTTAAAAGAGAACATCTCTGAGTCAGTAGAACACACTCTGACTACTAGAGTGGTGTTAGCCATGAGGTATTGTACAAGCCTCAGGTCGTCTCTGGAGCATCCTGCAGCTTCTAGTAGTCTGATTGTTGTACCTCTGCGGATGGTATTGAAGGCAGCTGACATGTCAATACTCACTTTGTTCCATTCAAACTCCTTCTTCATTACTACAGATATGAGCATGCTCTGTGCCCAAACTAGGTCGGCACAGCTCCTGCCAGCTTTATAGGCAGCTTGGAACGGTCCGGTGAAGTTTTTTATTAAAGCCTAAACTTAACTTCTACCAATTCAAAATTGTTTACGTCGGTCTCCCCTCCTTGAGCCACTTTTCACATAGCTATTGAGTATAAATCACTCTAGCACAAGCGATTTCAAACCCCCTCCCCTAGGCTGGATTATGTTATTATATGTGAACTGTGCTCTAGTGCATGACTGACTTTACATAATGCAGAGCATGCAGAGTTTTGATGTTTCATAAACTTATGAATAAAGTTTTAAAATCGTGACATAAAAAGCAGTGGTCGCCCGGTGCCCCCTGGCCAAAATCACAACCCCCAGCCAAAGATTGGCAATTCTCCGGGGGTAAACCCTGGCCCCGGCCAATTCTCAGTGGTCAGCCCCGGCCTCGGCTATATTGGGGCTCCCCGGCCCCGGTCAGAATCCTGCCCCCGGTCGACCACTGATAAAAAGTTAACTCACTGGATTTGTCCAAAAGCGAGAGAAAGTACTGAGAAAGCACTTATACGTCACCACCAGAGGGCCTAGAGAGGTTATCTTTGTCTGTTTAATTGAATATTGAGTATATAATATGAGATTTAAGATGAACATGATAGATATAATAACGTCCAAATTCTAAAGTTCCACCAAAATTGAGTCACATTAAACTTGGTTACGTAACTTGGTTACGTAACACAACAATTTTAGTTCTTCATTATGGTAGGTGATTTGACATAATGAAGTGTAGACTAAATTATTATTTATAATAATTACCTGTCGGAGGGATTTAAGTGTTCCTTTGAACAGTCCTTTTCTGGAAGGTTGAGAGCTTTCCATACATCCAGAGAGCCAAATTGGATTTGTCCTTCTTTCGGGAATATGCAATCTTTGATATGATGCCTTGTACATTTTGAAATCCTGCAGTTATCATTATTCAATACTTATAGAGCCTTAGATAAGGGGTTAGGGGTCGTTCACATAATATTGTGTAATTGCAATATAGTAAGGTTACTGTACATTTCCAACCCTTTGTCATGTATATCACAACAGATGATGTTAAATGCATAATAATATTATGATACAGTTTTACAGTTTTTTTTAACTGTCCAAGCTGAGATGAAGTCATACAGTCAAGCTGTGACTAAAAATGCACCTGTGCTTGCAGAAGAGAATTTAAAAAAGGTTGTACAGAATGGTGTATCGGAAGAGGATCGCAGTAGGAATGTGCTCATCTTTGGTTTGAAGGAGACTGATGAAGAGGAACTGTGCAATAAAGTTACCGTGATTTTTCAGCAGATTGAAGAAAAACCACGTTTTGAAGCTATCTGGGTTGGGAGAAAATCAGCCAACAAGACTAGACCAGTCAAAGTTTCGCTAGATAATTCTAACTTACCGTTCATCAGATATTAGTAAATGCCAAAAAGCTGAGACTGTGTGAAGATCATAAGACTGTTTTCATCTCTCCAGATCGATCACCTGAAGAACGAGTTATCCATCAGCGGTTGGTCTTGGAAATGAAACAGATAGCCAAAGCAGGCATGGCTCCACCGTGTAGGTTCGGGTGGGTGCGCATCCACCCAAAGGATGTTGCACTCACCCAAACGATTTGAAAATGTTCACACAAAAATTGTCAAATTTTGTATAAACTAAGGGTCAATTGACTTCTGTAATCAATTGAGACTGTTTTGGAGATATTAAAATATGTTTAGGAGAGTAAAATTCCAAAATTTTCCAGGGGGCTTCACCCCCCCCCCCCCCCACCGTGCGCCAAGCTGCACCCACCCAAAGATTTTGAGCTGGAGCCATGCCTGAGCCAAAGAAGACACAAAAAACATTATTATATCAGAAGTGGTAATATTTCTAGTGAGGACAAGATATAGATGTTAGAGAATGATACATAATAATGAGTGATATACGTCCATAAGTTTTTAGTTTTGATTGTTGATATAAGCGTGATAAAAATAATTTATTTCATTTGTATTGGACGGGACATACACAAAGATGCTACGTATGGTGCTGGGTATCTCATGGAAGGACAAGGTCAGCAATATAATTTTGTATGGTAGTCTACCAAGGCTGTCAATAAAGTTACGAAGCAGGAGACTAAAAATGGCAGGACACTGCATCAGACATCCTGAGCTACTTGCCAGTGATTTAGTCTTATGGAAACCTATGCATTCTAGAGCACAGCAAGGCCGACCAAGACAAAGCTACTTGTCTATGTTACTGAAGGAAATTGGGACAAACTCGAAAGAGGAACTGTGAACTCTGATGCGGGACAGGGATATATGGAGGGGGTTATCTGGCGTAGATCGGACTTAGTTCCGACAAAGTAGTAGTATTTCATTTCATTTCATTAATAACCTGCATAGTTGAAAAGTTGATTGATGTAGTTTCGATAAACAGGCGTCGTTCAACTCCACTCATTTCGTTTCAAGCTGGAATGTAGTATTGTTTAGTGTAGGTTTGTTCATGTACCTCTCATCATCAAAAGGTTTCAACTTATACAGCATCGATAACATCATCTAACAAAGCTTTTTGAACAGCTTAAGATTCAGTTAAAATTACATTATTCAGATACATTTTGTGAAATGAAACATTGTCAGCCTGTATTTAATTAATTATAATAATTATGGTAATTTAGCTTAAAATCAAACCATTTGAGTTTTCATTGTTATCAAAATAATGACGATCTAAATTCGTCTTAATCTGCATGGCTGTGAGCGGATCGAAGTCTTTTAACAAACCATAATGGTGATTGTCAAGTTTGTTCAGCAACATAATTCAGAATTGCAGAAATTATTTGAATCTACTAGAGATGAAATGGCTTAAATAACAAGCAATAGATGTTTTTGATTGAAATAAATTTTCGTGCACATACAGAATGAATGGTTAATAATTTAATATATATGTAGACCAAGGTCTGTGCACGGGATGCTTCCTGGAAGAATCCAGTTCTTTTAGCGGGGCACCCTACCTAAAGATGTAACTAAACAATACATATTGTAGTTTGACTACTTCTTTGAAACAATCAAAGAATGGGGGAGCTAAGGGAATGATTGCTCAAAACGAATGATATCTTCATGAATTCAATGCAGCATCTATACATTTATTCGAAATTAGTGATGGATGAGGGGGTTTAAGTCAGGCATTCCTGACATTTACTCTACTACTATTTATAAATTCAAAATCATGTTAAGAAGATAGCAGCAACTAATCTATATTATTTACAGTGCTCTATTTTATGTGTACTGAAGAGTGCCTTTACAATATTCCACTTTGTGGTGTAGATTTCCTCCATATCCAACAGGCAACACTGAATGAGTGATGGATGAGGGGGTTTAAGTCAGGTGTTCCTGACATGTATTCAAAATTGCATTGAGAAGATAGCAGTAACTAATCTATATTATTTACAGTGCTCTATTTATGTACTGAAGGGTACCTTTACAATATTTCAGTTTGTGGTAGGGTTCCTCCACATCCAACAGGTAACACGGAATGAGTGATGGATGAGGGGGTTTAAGTCAGGCATTCCTGTCAAAAGATCTATAATTAATCTTGTAAGGGTACCATACAGTAGACATTTTATTGTTGATTGTGAACCAAAAGTGAATTCATACCCACAATCGATAAATTATAAATCCAAATAGTCATATAAGCAATGCAATACTAAATTGGTGAAATTGTATTAACAAAAGGTAATCAGCCAAGTAAAGGTATCTCAACAATATAACATTGAAGTATTAGAAATGGCACTCTACTATTATAAAACACTTTACTGTGCTGTTTTAAACAATATTATATGAAATTAAGCCAGAGAAGGCATGAACTTCAGAAAAGGACAAAACACTACCGGTACAAAAACTTAAATGAGTTTCAGGGAAGGGTTACTAAAATTTTACGGTAGCGCTCGATTTTATTCAAAAAATTTCAAAGTGCTCAGCACCACGAAAAATATAATTTTTTCTTCCGCTTTCAAAACTTGTTTTTACGCTGAAAAACTATCAAATAGTATTATTGAACAGTATTAAAACACTTTGTGGGCAAAAATATTTCATTGTGGGTGTGTAAAGAGCCGAAAAAATTTAGCGCGCAAAAAAAACATTTTTTTTGGGAGGTTTTTTAAAATTTTGACCAGGTAAACTCTTGTGTATGCCTATTATATTGGTATTAACTAGTGCGGCAAATAAAAATATGCAAGAACCCAAAATATCTAAGCTTTTCGATTGAATTAACCTGTCGAAATTTCTAAAAAATCTCAAAAAATGGCCATTTTTGGGGCCAAAAATCGGTTTTTTCAAAATAAAACCAGGTAACCCCCATTTTAAACACTTCTAACCACTTTTAATCGATTCTACGGTCAAAAATACGTCTTTTAAGATGGGTCTGGTGATTTTAGTGTATCTAGCAGACAAAGCCCGTAAGAGCCTCTACTATATTATTTAGTTCAATTTTAAATATCCAATATGAACTAAATAAATTTTAATTTATTGGTAATAATTATTTTTATTGTGAATCCTATTATATATTATAATATGACTCAAAGCATATTTAATTTGGTTCTTTTTTAAAATATTAATTTACTGGGCCGCGCTCAGCCTGTCATTCCGCCAAATCTTAATAAACATAATTGATAATAGCCTGGGGTCCTCAGGTAAATATTAATTTGATGACAATTGCAAATTGTTTCATCAAAAAATAAACATTTATTTTATGTTTTACATTTTATTATTTGTCATCACTTAACTTAATTTTTTGTGTTCATAATGTAATGCACACAGATGAAATTATGTCAAAACAGCAAAAAAATAATATTTGTTGAAAATAATGACCCGTGCGCCGCGCAAACTTGCAACTGTGATTTTAAAATATAATCAGTGGCTTTGAAAAATTGCATGGTTATCATTCAGTTGATCCTATCAAAGTTATCGTCTTTGAAGAACACTGTTGATTTAATTCCAAGTGACATCTATAACAACAGAAGTTTGTTCTTAATAAATTAAATTGATAAACAAACTTATTAAAAACTAAATTTCGCGAACGCCGCGCGCAGAGAAAGCCCGTTTCTGCCATTTACTCCGCATGCAGTTTTACGGGAGCCAATCAAATGCGAGCCCTGCCGTGATTAACTGGGAAGCCTGGAGAGGTCCTTGAGATGGAATAACATCGTTTGGCTTCGTATAGTATTTTTGCAGACCACCGTGAAGAAAATCCATCAGCCGGGGCGAACATCAGCCTGTCATGTCATCCGGCGAAGAAGCACCAAGAACCGAGAAAGTGGAAAGGGAGAAAGTAGAAAGAGTGGAGAGGGAAGAAGAACAGGAGAAGAAGGATATCAGTGAGTCCATTGTTATTCGTTGAACTCTGGTCTTATCTGCTAACGATGTCCAATCTAGCCCGTCATGAACGAAGCTTGAATCCAATTGTCATCATTTTGTCCCTTGCCATTTCGGTTGATCGCTTCGTTTCACAAGACAAAATACCCCGTGTTTATGGTATTTTCAAGACCTTCGCTTCGAGAAATTTGCCATTTCTCCCCATCGATAGAAAATTTTCGATCAGCAGTTTTAACATATTAAAGATCGAGTGCTGCAGTTGTTCTATTTGAAATTGTAATGTACTCAATGAATATGTGAAGTTGCAATTTGAATCCAGTCTGTTCCCCTGCCAGCCCGTTCTCCCGCTCATCGTTTATTGTGTACAATTTGTAATGTTGAAATGACTCACACAACCTGCAACTCTAAACTTATCCTCAGTTGCTAGCGGAATTACTGGAAAAGTCAAGTGGTTTAACGTGAAGAGTGGATATGGTTTTATTACTAGGGATGATAACAATGAAGATATCTTTATCCATCAGGTTTGAAATCTTTGTCTGTGTCATCTGCTTGTATGGCAACTGTAATTTAACTCTGATACATTTAAAGTGTTACTTTAACGATTCGTTTCGAATTTACTTCGATTAGGCTCTAGAAATGATAGATACAGGGAAGCCACTAAATCTTTCGTCCGGTCCTCAACTGCTTTTATCGTAAACTTAGAGAATTTTCTAAGAAATAACGAGAGGCTTATTTTGTGAGAAAACCTACCGTGTCCTCAGTGTGATATTAAACAGCTAATTTAGCTTCGCTACTTTTATCACATGAGGTTAAACTAATTGCTTCCAGGGCTGAACTTTGATTCCACCCCATGTAATCTTTCTTGCAATGTCTTTCCTCCCTGAGCTGCCCAGAGTTTTGGATACACTATACCTGTAAACATGTTGTGGAATTTGGCACTGTTGAAATCTCGCTCGAGTTTTGACACCAAGCCGGAAACTAGGGGCGCAATTTCTAACTACTGAATAACTGAATGTTGAAGAAATTTTATTTGATATAAAATGACCTAATTATTTGAAATAGCATAGCCTGATGATTGTTTATCAGGCTTATTGCAGTCGTTGGTAACAAAAACTTTCCATAAATTCCTTTACTTACTTAAATCTATATCTATGTGTTGTAGTATTATTAAATTTTACACAAGAGCTGCGCCCCCAAAATTAAACCTTCAGTGATAGCTTGATTAGCTGATTTACACTGTTCGAGAGTTGGAACCGAACCCTATCGTGAATTGTTCGAGGTATTATCGGGTCCCTTGATTTGAGAGCACTCTTTAAACACAGACTTCATTGCAGAAGATCATGAATAAATCAAAGGATTTCAGTATTTATTCGAGCAAGTTCCTAGGAATGTGATCCCTACTTAACAGGACATACTTTATTAATACATAAAATAGGGGTTTCTGGAAACTAGTAATTGATACTAATTAGCTATGAATACCTTGTTCAAAAGTTAATGAAATCATCAGGTGTTCGTGTTAAAGTAGAGACCTTCTTGGACCATAATTCTCTACTAGTGTGTGAATACTGAATACCTGTCGTTATTATATTCTCATCTCATTACTCAAATTGGCTTAGTTCCAGAAGACGTTTCTAAGTCTGGCTGGCTGGCTGCCAGATTTTAGTGTTTTTGACACTAAAGTTCCTCCTGAATAGTGTCAATATATACGAAATATAATCAGATCATGTAACTAGACAATGTGGGACCATTTTATTTCAGAATTCTTATTCGGGTGTGGCTATCCGCTATAGCTTGGCAATTAACCAATCTCCACTATTGACTAATCAAAACCCAGAATTACTGTAATTTGTCAAAAATTCATCTACTTAGGCTCCTGGATTGAGAGCACAGATTAGATAGGGAGATAAGGGTTAGAAAGGGAAAAGCGTGGGGTGCCCTACATAGACTGAATGATATCTGGAAATACAAACTCTCAAAGAGCCTCCAGATTAGATTGTTCATAGCGGCTTGTGAATCAGTACTGCTCTACGGATCAGAAACCTGGACACTGACAAAGGCTCAAGAGAAAAGGTTGGACGGGACATACACAAAAATGTTGCGTATGGTGCTGGGTATCTCCTGGAAGGACAAGGTCAGCAATATAACTTAGTATGGTAGCCTACCAAGGCTGTCAAACAAGTTCCGAAGCAGGAGATTAAAAATGGCGGGAAACTGCATCCGGCATCCTGAGCTACTTGCCAGTGATTTAGTCTTATGGGAACCTACGCACGGTAGAGCACAGCAAGGCCGACCAAGACAAAGCTACTTGTCTATGTTACTGAAGGAAGTTGGGACAAACTCTAAAGAGGAACTGCGAACCCTGATGCGGGACAGGGATATATGGAGGGGGTTATCTGGCGTAGATCGGACTTAGCTCCGACATAGTAGTAGTAGTTGTAGTTGTCAAAAACATGCCTCTTCAATTCGCCAGCAGAATCCACATCTCTAGTCAGTAGATCGTCTTGAAGGATCCGTTTCATTGAACAGATGGTGTACAATAATAGTGGGGGCCGGGGTGGGGGGATGACCATATTTAAGTATATTAAAGTATATCCCGCCCCTAAATCGGGGAAAACCTACATTTCAATATACTATAATTATAATCATAAGCAGGCCGTCCCGTCCCTCCTACTTTTCAGCAGTTCTTCTGTTACACGGTATATGGGCGGAGGAACCAGTGACCCCACTCAAAAAATTTGTCAGTGTAGTCAAAGAATGTTCTCTCCAAATTTTGAGAAAAATATTAACTCCAAATAGAAAATCCGCATTTTAAATCATATTACACTGATGGAAATGTCTATCAAACATCTGGCTCCTACTTCTAGTATGAAACTAAGGAAATGTGTCATTGGTCACGTGTTTATTAAAGCACAGCATTTTGTCCTGCTGGTGATATAACTGTGTAATGGTCTGTGTTATCAATACTAATCACTTATCAGGTCGTCATTACAGTTATCGTCGGAAGTTGTGCTTTTGCCTTCCAATGTTAGGTACTCTAATTTCATCTGACCAAAAGTAATGGTAGTTCTAGATTGTGTGAATTTCTAGTTATTTTAAGTAACTGTATTTAATGTATTCTGGGTAAAATTATCTTTATCCCGGTTGTTGCGACAAGTAAAAATGCTCTTATTAGGGAAAGGAGATTACTCGACGTTTCAATGTAACTACATCGTATTCATGATCTAAAAACAAGTGTTAAAAATTCAAAACGTAAAAAAAAAAATTAAAAAAAAAAAAAAAAAAAAAACATATATCTGAGGCAAAATTTGTGTACATTAATTTATTTTTAATCAATCAACTTTATCCAAAAATTCGATACAGGTGAACAGGTGCTTGATGTGAAGTGTGTAGGTATGTATCTAGTGTGGAGTGAAAATGGCGGGAATCGTACTGACCAATGAGAAGTGTGAAACGTGGGAGCCTAATATGGTTTGATTGATGTTGTAAGGGTTAGTGTGTTGAATAGGAGGCGGAAGTGTGCGTGTGTGAGATGTGGTCCCTGTACTCAGAAAGTAAACAAAACCTATAAATATCACTAAAAATCACTACATATGTGTAGACAATCCCCTGTCTGTAAAGTATAAAATATGTTACACCCTGTTTATTATGTACTTGTTACTAAAAAACGTTTGATTGTTTCTAACTCATCTCTCTTGTTAATGTTAGGTTTGAACTTCAAAATAAGCATTGCTTCTGCAATCTTTCTTCTAGCTGTGTTGCTTTCTGTTTTTAAAATCTCAAATTCTAAATTGGGTTCTGACCCCCTATGTAAACTGTTATAATGAATAGCAAAAGCTTGACTAGTGTTAGAAGGAGTTAAAGGAAATTTAGCATATCTTAGGTGCTCTCCGAGCCTATCATGTGCCCTCCTGCACGTCTCACCAATATAAATATTATTACAGATTTTACAGGTAATCTTATACACAACGTTCTTCACCTCACAATCTTTATTTTCAGTTATAGATGTGGATACTGGTGGGGAGGTGAAACACATTTGTTTACTTTAATAGTAAGCACATGTTCAGCGGGTTGAGGAGGTGAAACACATTTGTTTACATTTTTAGGGTAAGCACATGTTCAGCGGGTTGAAGAGATGATACACATTTTGTATTATAGAAGGCTTGTAACACTTGTAACGCTTTCTTGTTACCCCCCTTTGAAGGCCCCGAATTATTTTCTGAACGAAAGCTCAAAAATAACCGAGAAATCGACCTTCTTATTAACTCATTTTGATGACTGTTTCTGACCTAAAATTGCACGAAAAATCGATTTAGCTAGGTTTCAGAACCTATAAACACTTCCTTATCCCTCAAAATTGATGTTTTATAGTTGATACGAGCAACAAGCAACATATGTTTTGATCCTTCGGTTCTACTCATGACCTAGGCAGTTAAGCTGAACCCGACAGATCGAGGCAATCCTCACCTTAACTGATCAAACTGGTACTAACACAATTTTCAGATATAAATGTTCTTTGCGATACGTTTATTGCAGCTTTGCAACTTGAGTGAAGACCAGAGTACGAAAACACACAGCAGGTAAGCAACTCATTTTTGGTGACTGTTCCTCACGAACATTCTGATCCTGCAACATAGGAACAGCAGCTAGGGAGATCGTCTCCTTAACAAATCGGACAGGTACTATCACAATTTCCAGAGCACAGCATGATAACAAAGTCAAAAGAAACACAACGAAGGTAGGTTACCAACACCACAATATAACAATTATACTAACAACTGAATTACATTTATTCTGACGACGGGCAGCCCTGATGTGCTCCGTCATCCTCAACGAGCGACCACTTGTAATAGAGGTGTTATGTCATGTTACACCGATCCGTCTAATCACAAACAGGACGAGTCAGCAGATCGATATCGTGTGTTTACTTTCCTTATCTTTATTTGACCCTCTGTTCACATTGTTATCTCTACCACATCTCGGCTCGGCAAGGTCCGCGTGCAATATCTGCACCGCGGTAAACACGCCATGATTACGTCATGAACTTGAAATAGTGTGATTGTTGTACTTATATAACCGTGCCCATTGCCCACGTACAATACAAACTGTTGGGGGGGGGGGGGGTTTAAGATAAACAACCGATCTTGATAGTGTGTTGGTCGCTCCTCCAACTGACTGTGATGCTAACTGTTCAATCAGGAACGGAACATTAACATTGTTTAGTTATAGCATGTTTCGGTTTAGTTGTCCAATTGCGTATTATTAAAAACATTTACTCTAATATGAGGTCGCGATTGTGAACTGAGTGAGATCCAAATGATGAACTGTGCTTTAAGTTTACACCAACTGGAAGCAAAGGAATAATGCATATATCCATGAGTGCTGCTTTGCTTAACTTTGACAGTAAGTGTTTAAAAACAGAATCTAGGACACGACTTCACTGACAAGAACTGTATGTTCCAGGAGGAGGCAGTATACAGGAGGACAAGCATAAAAAGCGAATTAAATTTCAGGAGTTACACTAAACATCCCAGCGGGGATGTGGGGCAAGACTCAGTTCACGCCGGAAGAAGTAGCAGCCAGCAGAAAAGTCAGCATCGCCCGCATCCACGTGGAACGCTCTATTGGCTATCTGAAGCGGTACAAGATTTTGGGAAACAAAGTTGTGGCGAAGATGTTGCCTTATCTGAGCGACATCGCATTCGTGTGTGCCCAACTTGTTAATTTTAAACCTGTTTTTTTGAGGGAAGTGGACAGTGATTTTTTTTAAATGACCAGGTCTGCTTAAATAACTAAAAAATTATGTTAATATTCTGTTCATGACTGGACGATAAGTTCCTACAATCCCCCCCCCCCCCCCAACAGTTTGTATTGTATGTGGGCAATGGGCACGGTTATATAAGTACAACAATCACACTATTTCAAGTTCATGACGTAATCATGGCGTGTTTACCGCGGTACAGATATTGCACGTGGACCTTGCCGAGCCGAGATGTGGTAGAGATAACAATGTGAACAGAGGGTCAAATAAAGATAAGGAAAGTAAACACACGATATCGATCTGCTGACTCGTCCTGTTTGTGATTGGACGGATCGGTGTCACATGACATAACACCTCTATTACAAGTGGTCGCTCGTTGAGGATGACGGAGCACATCAGGGCTGCCCGTCGTCAGAATAAATTTAATTCAGTTGTTAGTATAATTGTTATATTGTGGTGTTGGTAACCTACCTTCGTTGTGTTTCTTTTGACTTTGTTATGCTCTGGAAATTGTGAAAATTACGCTCTGGAAATTGTGATAGTACCTGCTCTGGAAATTGTGATAGTACCTGTTCGATTTGTTAAGGAGACGATCTCCCTGTTCATATGTTTGTTATATATATGGTCATTTATTATGTAACTTATTTATGTATATTATTCCTTAGTCTCGTATGACCATAGTTGGTACTACAATAAGTGGGTTTCACTTCTAAGCTACCGTATACTAAATTGTTACAGGATCAGAATGTTCGTGAGGAACAGTCACCAAAAGTGAGTTGCTTACCTGCTGTGTGTTTTCGTACTCTGGTCTTCACTCAAGTTGCAAAGCTGCAATAAACGTATCGCAAAGAACATTTATATCTGAAAATTGTGTTAGTACCAGTTTGATCAGTTAAGGTGAGGATTGCCTCTATCTGTCGGGTTCAGCTTAACTGCCTAGGTCATGAGTAGAACCGAAGGATCAAAACATATGTTGCTTGTTGCTCGTATCAACTATAAAACATCAATTTTGAGGGATAAGTAAGTGTTTATAGGTTCTGAAACCTAGCTAAATCGATTTTTCGTGCAATTTTAGGTCAGAAACAGTCATCAAAATGAGTTAATAAGAAGGTCGATTTCTCGGTTATTTTTGAGCTTTCGTTCAGAAAATAATTCGGGGCCTTCAAAGGGGGGTAACAAGAAAGCGTTACAAGTGTTACAAGCCTTCTATAATACAAAATGTGTATCATCTCTTCAACCCGCTGAACATGTGCTTACCCTAAAAATGTAAACAAATGTGTTTCACCTCCTCAACCCGCTGAACATGTGCTTACTATTAATGTAAACAAATGTGTTTCACCTCCTCAACCCGCTGAACATGTGCTTACTATTAAAGTAAACAAATGTGTTTCACCTCCCCACCAGTATCCACATCTATTAATAAAGGACAAATTTTACAGGAGTTAATAATACAGGTTCTCTTATCATACGGTCTGTTATTACACACAATATTTCTTAGTTTTCTAGCTGGGGAAAATATAACTTTAATAGGTAAATTGTTCTGTTTAATATGATTCCTAATTCTGTTACTGATACTGTCTGAGATAAAATCTAACTTAAGCACTGTTCTGTTATCCTCCCTATTTCTATTACTAATACTACTACGACGTCTGTTGGAATAATTTCTGGGTGTTTGATACCCGTTTCTAGTCATAAGACGGTCTAAAATGCTGTATGAATGTTCTCTCTCCTGAGGTCCTGACGAGATCTTGTCCGCTTCTTTATACAGGTTGATCACGGTGTTCGTCTTCACAGATTCTGGGTGACATGAATTCTTGTGAAGTGTGATGTCTTTCTGCTGTGGCTTACGGTACAAGCGGCTCGTCACAGTTCCATCAGGTTCCACTCTAAGCTCTGTGTTAAGGAATGGGATGAACTCTTGGTCGTTCTCCGGAAACTCTACCTCCCACTTGAGTTTCTTGTCAGGGTCCTGGTCTGCGATACTCTGAACAAGTGCTAGAGCTTCTTCTCTTGTTACAGCTGTGCTGGTGGCGTCGTCAATGTACCGCTTGTAGAAGTCAGATTTTTTTTTTTTTACGTTTTGAATTTTTAACACTTGTTTTTAGATCATGAATACGATGTAGTTACATTGAAACGTCGAGTAATCTCCTTTCCCTAATAAGAGCATTTTTACTTGTCGCAACAACCGGGATAAAGATAATTTTACCCAGAATACATTACAACAATGCGACTCATAAATAATACTCCAATCCGGATTTTACATGTATTTAATGGTACGTATCAGGACTGACGGAAAATTTGCAATTTTGAACATCTCTATAACTAAGATCGTTTAAGTTACTGACCTAGTTCACTGGCAGTCAAAAACTGGGCCCAAAGTACCATCGTGCCGCTGACTCAGTCATTATAGCTTGATAGTGGTAGAAAAAGTATGAACTATTCTCAAATTTCCCCATCTGTAGATTAAACTGCCATGAGGGGGAAACAGTCGTCTGATCATTCGCCTCAACTGCATCCGGCGCCAGATAACCTACTTTCTTGACTTAGTCATCATATACAGTGTGTATCTCTCACCGTCTGAACTTACTTGTTTTTCTTTCGCCTGACTAAATGAAATAAGAGAAAAGCTGATAATTTCCTCCAAAGTTTCGTCAATATCCTGAAAGTTCCGGAGTCTTTTGTTTTAGTCAATAACATTGTCCCCTTTTGAGCCTTCTGCCGAAAAAAATGTTTGTTAACTGTCTTTCTGCCTATCACCCCTACTGGAACACTCTCGAAGGAAACACGAGAAATGCTCTCTATTGCTAGTTTTACCAACTCTTTGCTGTAGAAAGAACAACACTCTTCAGCGATCCCTGACCAAATTTTACGCGCGCTGGATCCGCGCGTTCTCTTCCGCTTTTAGTTAGGAAATGCTCTGCACCTCGAGTGCCTGAATTAGGCTCGATGGGCCAGGTTCTTCAGGTTTGACTAGCTCATACTATCGCAAAGATCAGGAATTTAAGGAACACAGTTTAGTAGTTGTTTCTCACATTATCAAATCCAGGCTTGCCTAGTCAAAAGCCTGCGGAAGTTGGTGGCTGATGTAACGAGACACCCGTAAAAATCTCACTATACTATCAAATTTCAGACCGCCATATCGAAGAACAATCCAAGGAAGCTGAAACGAAGTGTGGGAGATAATGAAGAAGTTGTGTTTGATGTTGTACGCGGTGCTAAAGGCGACGAGGCGTTCAATGTAACTGGTCCGGACGGAAGTCCTGTTAAAGGTTCTATCTATGCTCGTGATAGAAGACCTAGGTCAGTGTTAGAAACTTATAAATACGGTCCCTTTAAAGTTTGCATCACATTTGTATCACCCTTATGATTTCAAATTGACTAGTTATATCTCGTATCCTTAGCTCACCTCGTCTCAGACGTGGGCGTGGAGGATTCAGGGGTCGGGGAGGAGGTAGACGTAGGTACCGAGATTCGGAACGTGAGGGAGAGGAACGTGAGGGAGACGAAGGAGGACAGCGCGAGCGAAGAGACGAGGGACCACGCGAACCACGTGAGCGCAGAGACGAAGGACCACGCGAACCGCGCGAGCGCAGAGATGAGGGACAGCGCGAGCGCAGGAGATCTCCCGAGCCGAGACGCGAGAGACGTCGCTCCGATCGCAGGAACGACTCTCGTAGCGAGGAGCCTCGAAGAGACGGCAGAGATCATCCCAGAGAAGTAGACTATCGGGATTCTCGACCAGGCGGAAGAAATTACTACTCAGTACGGTTAGTTCAACGATAGTTCTGATTTAACATTCTTTCTCTTAGAATAAATGATACTAGTCAAATTTACGAATTTATTAATCAACGTATTACATCTATATTAGTTAATCTACATATACAGACGGTAATATTTTCGTTCACAAAATTCTCATTAAAGTCTAAAGTTCATGATTAGCGCGGTATCCACCGAATGTTCTAGTCGATTGTTTTCCGATATCTATGGACTGAGTACCGTAACCTCGACTGTGGTCGAAACAACCCTGTTCTGTGGCCAAGTAATGACATTCCCTTTCGACAGAAGAACATAAACAATAGGATTGTAACTTGACATCAGTATAGGCAGGAAACTTGATAGTATGGTGTTGAAGATTGCTAATAAGAAAGTTCCGTGCATGTCTTGCTTAACCATGATAACCCTGCCTATGACTAATAACATCTGAACTGTACTCCCAGCGTTCAGCAATGCTATTTTTATTGCACTTTTCAGTCGTCTGCCTGGTTGCTCAGTAGTCCTAGGTATTCGAGAGGTTTTGGCAATGTCTCGGATAGTCAAAACTGATGCCACAGTGGCTGTCAGTGATAAAATAATACCCAGTATCTCGGTTAATAATTGTAAACTCTCTTGGCCAAACGGAGCTCGTTGCAATGCTTTCTGTATAGAAATTACCATAAGTGATCGAGGAGATTCGTAGACCTGAGAAACAATATAATATACCATAATGAGAAGACAAAGCACAGCAGTTACCGTCTCGATCAGACTTCTTTTCAAAACTCTGAAGGGATATTTTATCTGATACCATCTCCCTGTTGCCAAAACTGAAGTCAGGATGACAGGACTAAACATGAGGTACCACAAAAAACTGCTTACAACATTCTCTGTCATTGTTGCAGGTCTTGCGTACAAGTAATACTCATATTCTTCACAGTAATCTTCCTTTGGCTTTAAAATCACGATGCTGTAAAATGTGGTCATCACAACGCTTGTAAGAAAGTCAGTAGTTGCAAGAGCCATGTACAGGTCTCGAGGGAGGCTTCTCTTCTTGCAGAAATTGTGTCGGAGGACGAGTGGGTTGAGAAGTATGGAAACCAACGCCGTAGAAACAATAACAATCACCAACCAAATGTCAGGCGATGTCAAGCCTCCGTCGCTGTAAAGAGCCATCCTCTGCCTGCCGAAATATTACAACCTTAGAGAAGTGGAGGTGGGGCAGCTCACGCTTATAGTTATAAGCTTGGGAGTTGGTAGTCGCTCCCAATATGAAGGCAGCTGTGATGGAAAACGATGATCTGACCACGATAATCATATATTTTAATTAATAATTACATATTAACTTTGAAGGCGTTGCCTAGTAGCATGTCCTTAATTTGAAATTTGGAAAATGATGTTGTCGTTGTAACGTGAACCACTTAGAACATAGCTGCCGACATCTAGTAATTAGAAACACATGCGCGACATCTAGTAATTAGTTCCACGTGCGCGACATCACGAGGTGGAATATAAACTATAGACATCATGTGGGCTGCTTCATGGACAGTGATATGATGACCCATCAGCAACTTGTTTCCGGCCTGAATAAGATATTGTTTGTCATTTCAATGAGAACCTTCTGAACTCGTGCATCCCACTTTCACAATCGTATGGTTAGCAGTCTGACAATAGACCACATGATAATAATAAAGTTAATTAAATGTAATAATTTAGAATGTTAATCATCGACGTCAACTAAATTCTCAAACTTGTTACTCCGTCTCCAGATCCGATGAGACCGGAGGAGCAGGAGCAAGCGCAAGTGCTCCACCCCGAGGAAGAGGAGGACGTGGACGGTCCATGTCTCGTGGAGTAGGCGGAGAACGAGGACGAGGCCGGGGAGCCGGCAGATCATCTGTTGGGCGAGGACGTGGTCGTGGTGGCAGAGGAGCTACTTATTACAGGAACAGCGACTATAACGAGTTCCATGATTACCGTCCCAGACAGAGGTTGGTCAAGTTATATCTTATCACAAATAAATCAAAAAATATATTTTCAAGTAATCCTTGCTCATTCTTACTGGTTAAGTACAATTATGACTGTTCCGTATTTATAGATTGCAATATTTGTCAGTATGCGCGCTCTCTTGAGACTTGTAAAGTGTATCACCAATGTATGTCTTGACAAAGGCGTGTAACCGAAACGGCGTTAATACCTAATGTTATGAATCAGTTTTTAGATTTCCTTAGTTCCATATCTAATAAAGTAATAAACCCTAGTAACAGAGGTCGAGGTAGAAATGACGACAACAGAAGAGACTCTTACAATGACGGAGAAGATCGGGGACACGAGGGAGATAACATGAACAAGGACCAACAAGCCCCCCGACGCGGCAGACCAAGGTACCGCAACCGTCGCAGCCAAGGAGAACCAACTGAACGGAACGGAGCTGAAGCAACAAGTGCTTAGAACCCTCCTTGGAAATGTAGACTGTGCATGATTTTTGAAATCGTTAGATCATCACTAATGGAACACTAACATCTTACTCTTAGCTTGATTTGTGTGACTCTTGTCGTTATATATACAGGAAACATCAAAAATATAAGCATTCTATCATCAATGTGTCCAACAACATCATTCAATGCTATACTTTTATTTGCTTTTTTTATTTAGCACATTCATTATTGGCTATCCTGCTTACCCTACACTATTAAATTATTGGAATTTTCTACGATTTTCCGTTGTTTTTTGTACCGCGTGCAGGTGTAGTTTCTTATATGTACTACCAACTTTTATTGATACGCATGTCTAAGATACATGAGAACAGTTCACTCAACAGCCATGCTCTGACCACCTTAACGATATAGTTTTGATTTGAGATATATAACTTATTGTTATGTTAGTTGGCTTTGTTTGTAACAATGCGTTCTCTGTATTTTGACTGTAGTTATTACTTCTGGAAACGATATAATGATGTATTATTTATTGTTAATTTAAGCATGGGAAAGTTTCATTGCCGTTAATTTTAAAGCCGTCGGGGCTTTTCTATGGGTACAAATTAGAGTCTAACAAAGCACTACAACGAAATTTTGGTCAAATGAAACTTTGGAATAAGATCATCGTCAAAAGCATGTGAAATTAAATGCCCTAGCACATTTATTTTTAAAGGCAAATTTTTTGCTCCGCGCATGATACAAGTGCGCTGCCATTTCGCGGCGAATATGTGATATGGAATACGACGAACAACGAAATTGGAAATGGTTACTGGGGCGACGCTCAGCCTTTTTAAGAGAGGGTGACCCACTAGAGGATAGCATAATAGGATTTGACACACGATGCGTCGATGCAACCCCTTTTCGCGCGCGGCGGCCGGAGTGCATGAGAGAGCAGAGAGGTATACAACGTGTTATGTAGCAAATTAGGATACTCTGCCTACATCTGGGCCGGGTATGGCAACCTTGGGGACTAGTCAACTATAAATGGCAAATGATACGATTGAGGTGCTGGAAGTTTGATATCGGTCGAAGGAACTGGAAGCTCACTGCAAAAATCTTAATGCTTAACAAAACGAAAATTCATGTTTTCCAAATTCTGTCCCATTTTCAAATAAGCAACTTTCTTAACACAAATTTTACACATTTATTGGATGGATTTTTTGCTCAGATACCAATTACTTTAACTTAGTCAGTTAATTGATGATGGTATGAAACCAAATTGAGGTACTGGAAGTCACAATCCTGAAGAAAATTGAAAAATCATATTATCTCATTTTTTGTCCCATTTTTAGTTTTTGAAGATGAAATTTCTTGTCATACGTTGTATGACCCGCCGCGCGGCTCCCCCTGTAGCGTCGAAGACGCTATAGTGAAGGGGGGGGGGGGGGATTATGTTTTTTTTGTCCGTTTTTGTCCGTTTGGCAGCTATATTTTCAAAACGGACAAAAAATAAAGCGGACAAAAACGGACAAAAAATAACAAAAATTTAAATAACATTTAGATGCTTCCTCCTCCTCCTCCTCCTCCTCCTCCTCCTCCTCCTCCTCCTCCTCCTCCTCATCCTCCTCCTCCTCCTCCTCTTCCACCTTCTCCTCCTCCTCCTCGGCCATCCTCCTCAGCCATCCTCCTCAGTCCTCCTCAGTCCTCCTCAGTCCTCCTCCTCTGCAGTCCTCATCATCCTCCTCAGTCCTCCTCCTCCTGGGTCCTCCTCCTCCTCTTCATCCTCCTCCTCTTCCTCCTCAGTCCTCAGTCCTTCTCCTCAGTCCTCCTCCTCATCCTTTTCGTCAGTACTCCTCCTCCTCAGTCCTCCCCCAGTCCCCCTCCTCCTCCTATTCAGTCCTCCTCATCCTCCTCCTCAGTTCTCCTCCTTCTCATTCCTCCTTCTGAGTCCTCCTCATTCCTCCTTCTGAGTCCTCCTCCTCCTCTTTCTCCTGAGTCCTCCTCCTGGGTCCTCTTTCTCCTCCTCCTTCTCAGTCCTCCTCCTCCTCCCTCTCAGTCATCCTCCTCAGTCATCCTCCTCAGCCATCCTCCTCAGCCATCCTCTTCAGCGATCCTCCTCAGTACTCCTCAGTCCTCCTCCTTCTCAGTCCTCCTCAGTCCTCCTCCTCAGTCATCCTTCTCCTCCTCCTCCTCCAGGGGGATCCTGTTTTTTATCCGTTTTTTCCGTTCGGAACCCTATATTATCAAAACGGACAAAAAATAGAGCGGACAAAAACGGACAAAAACGGACAAAAAATAACAAAAATGGAAATAATATTTAGATACTTCCTCCTCCTCCTGAGTCCTCCTCCTGGGTCCTCCTCCTGGGACCTCCTCCTCTTGGGTCCACCTCCTCTTCATCCTCCTCCTCTTCCTCCTCAGTCCTCAGTTCTCCTCCTCAGCTCAGTCCTCCTTCTCAGTCCTCCTCCTCCTCATCCTTTTCCTCAGTCCTCCTCCTCAGTCCTGCCCAGTCCCCCTCCTCCTCCTATTCACTCCTCCTCCTCCTCCTCCTCCTCCTCCTCCTCCTCAGTCCTCCTCCTCCTCCTCAGTCCTCCTCCTTCTCAGTCCTCCTCCTCCTCAGTCATCCTCCTCAACCCTCCTCCTCCTCAGTCCTTCTCCTCTTCCTCCTCCTCCTCAGTCTTCCTCATATTCCTCAGTCCTCCCCCAGTCACCCTCCTCCTCAGTCCTCCCCCAGTCACCCTCCTCCTCCTCCTCATCCTCCTCATCAGTCCTCCTTTGCCTTCTCAGTCCTCCTCTTCAGTCCTCCTCCTCCTTTTCCTGGTTCCTCCTCAGTCCGCATTCTCCTCCTCAGTCCTTCTCAGGCCTTTCCCCAGTCACCCTCCTCCTCATTCTCCTCATCAGTCCTCCTTCTCCTTAGTCCTCCTCCTCAGTCCTCCTCCTCCTCCTCCTGGGTTCTCCTCCTGGATCCCTCTTCTCCTCCTCAGTCCTTCTCCTCCTCCTCAGTTATCCTCCTCCTCCTTCTTCTCCTCCTGGGTCCTCCTCCTTCTGCTCACCAGTCCTCCTCCTCAGTCCTCCTCATCCTCTTCATCCACTTACTTCTCCTCCTCATCAGTCCTCATCAGTCCTCCTCCTCCCAAGTCATCCTCCTCCTCCTGGGGCCTTTTCCTGTGTCCTCCTCCTCCTGGGTCCTCCTCCTGGGTCCTCCTCCTCTTCCTTCTCCTCAGTCCTTCTCCTCCTCAGTCCTTCTCCTCTTCCTCCTCCTTAGTCTTCCTCCTCCTCAATCCTTTTCCCAGTCACCCTCCTCCTCATCCTCATCCTCCTCATCAGTCCTTCTTCTCCTTCTCAGTCCTCCTTCTCAGTCCTCCTCCTCCTCTTCTTCCTGGTTCCTCCTCCTGGGTCCTCCTTCTCCTCCTCAGTCCTCCTCCTCTTCCTCCTCCTCCTGGGTCCTCCTGATCCTCCTCAGTCTTTTTTTCTCCTTCTACTCCTCAGTCCTCCTCCTCCTCAATCCTTCTCTTCCTCCTAAGTCATCCCCTCCTCAGTCCTCCTAAGTCCTCCCATTCTCAGTCCTCCTCCTCATCAGTCCTCTTCACCAGTCCTCCTCCTCAGTCCTCCTTATCCTCATCCTTCATCTCCTTCCTTCATCTCCTTTCTCCTCCTCATCCTCCTCATACACCTCCTCCTCATCAGTCCTCCTCCTCACTGCTCACTCCTTCTCCTCCTCCTCGTCCTCCTCCTCCTCGTCCTTAGTCATCTTTATCAGTCCTCATCAGTCCTCATCAGTCCTCCTCCTCCCCAGTCCTCCTTTTGGGGCCTTTTCCTAGGTCCTCCTCCTGGGTCCTCCTCCTCTTGGGTCCTCCTCCTCTTGGGTCCTCCTCCTCATCCTTCTCCTTAGTCCTCCTCCTCCTCAGTCCTCCTCTTGAGTCCTTCTTCTCCTCCTCCTCCTATTCATTCCTCCTCCTCAGTTCTCCTTCTCAGTCTCACTCCTCCTTCTCAGTCCTCCTCCTCCTCTTCTTCCTGGTTCCTCCTCTTGGGTCCTCCTTCTCCTCCTCTTCCTCCTCTTCCTGGGTCCTCCTGATCCTCCTCAGTCTTCTTCCTCCTTCTACTCCTCAGTCCTCCTCCTGCTCAATCCTCCTCTTCCTCCTAAGTCCTCCCCTCCTCAGTCCTCCTAAGTCCTCCCCTTCTCAGTCCTCCTCCTCATTAGTCCTCTTCACCAGTCCTCCTCCTCAGTCCTCCTTATCCTCATCCTTTATCTCCTTTCTCCTCCTCATCCTCCTCATACACCTCCTTCTCCTCATCAGTCCTCCTCCTCACTCCTCAGTCCTTCTCCTCCTCCTCCTCCTCCTCGTCCTTAGTCCTCTTTATCAGTCCTCATCAGTCCTCATCGGTCCTCCTCCTCCCCAGTCCTCCTCATGGGGCCTTTTCCTGGGTCCTCCTCCTCTTGGGTCCTCCTCCTCTTGAGTCCTTCTTCTCCTCCTCCTATTCATTCCTCCTCCTCAGTTCTCCTTCTCAGTCTCACTCCTCCTTAGCCCCCCTCCTCTCCCTCCTCAGTCCCCCTCCTCAGTCCCCCCTCCTCCTTTTCCTCTCTTTCATCTCTCAATAATTTGTTCAATTTATAATTATTGTTGGTGTTATTGTTAACATAATTTATTGTTAAATACTAAAATGTTTTTAAGCGCATTTGAGTCAGACTCAAAATGTGCTCAAGAATCTTTGTGTTTAACAAAGTTTTACTCTCCAGTAATAAAACTTTTCATCCCTTTTTATGTTATTAAAAAATGTGTAGACTATTCTTTGTGCCTAATTGAAGATTAAAAGTTTGAGAAAGGACCATGGTCATTAACCGGGCTACCCATTTCTGCAAATAGCCTGTTACAAATTGTGGAGAAAATTTAAATCAAAAGTTACAATTTTTGTCCGTTTTTGTCCGTTTTTGTCCGTTTTTGTCCGTTTGGCAGCTATATTTTCAAAACGGACAAAAATTAACGGACAAAAACGGACAAAAAATAACATGATCCCCCCCTAGTGAAGCGACCGTGGGGGTCACCACGTGATACAAGAAATTTCCACTTTCCAGGACCGAAATTTTACAGTTTTGACTGAATTTCTCACCCGAAACCAATTAGTCTGTCAATAGGTAGTGCGCCATCGACAGTAAGCCGCGCGTGCCGACTGTAGGATGGTTTTTTAGCGCTAATTTCGGCCAGCGCAATTTTCTTCAAACAAATAGATATTGAGTATCCTTCCCGACCTTCAATTGCAACAAAAATTGGTAAGCTTACTCATAGACTTACAAGGAAAGTGTCCGAAAAATTTAAAGCATATCCAACCATCAAACATTATGTTACAGCTAAAAGCAGTGTATTTTGCCCCATTTTGATCACTATATCAACTCCGATATCCACCAAATTTTTCGGACAGTTGTGAAAGCCCTATTGGAAGGTCGTCGCCAATTTCCAGAATGATCTCATTTAAGGAACTGAAGATAAATCCGAATAATACGACAAAAATGGTCAAATTTGGACGAATTTGGTCAAAT